AGTTACTACTGAGTTCTGCCAAAGTGTCGGTGGATGTGGGGGTGTCCTTATCACGGATGCGGATGGATAAGATGTCGCCAATGCCTAGTATGGATGCAATGGAGTCATCATCTGTGTCATTAATGGTGTCTCGAACCATCAACATAGTCTCTTCACCGAAAAAACTCGTAGGGTCAGCATAGGTGTCACTCAGGGTATCTCCAACAATAAGCAAAGTCTCATCACCAACATGACGTGTGGCGGTAGTGGCAGGCTTGGCAGCAGCGACAGTAATGGCTCCACCAGAATCATCTAGGCTGCATGCATGCATGCATGCCACTTTCGTTCAGCGAAGTTAAGGAGGTACAGCCTCGGAAAGCAGACCCCACAGACTTCTCAAGGTTCAAACGAACTCCGAACTACGGTGACATGCATACAGGCGCCGAGGCAATGGCTGGCTGACTGGTGCTACTTGACTCCGATTGGGCTGCTGCTCTTGCATCAACAGGACTGTGACAAAGGGAGACTTGGCTGGCGATTTCGATTTGTCCACAGGAAGGCGGGTGGGTGTGGTTGCAATAAAGGCAGTTTGTGTCTGTACAAATGCACGTCTTGGATGAGGGGGCGGAAGCTGGCTTTGGCTGGCAAAGGGTGCAGTAGACTGGTGCATTGCCTTGTGCGAGTTGCTGTTGTTGTCGGTATCGGTTGCTTTTCCATTCGAGGGAGGCTTTCCCCTTATCGAAGGACACATTTTGTTGGTAATAAAGGTCGGAGGAGTCGGAGGCGACATGGAAGACTCAGAGTGTAGTCCAGGAAAGAGTACACTGAGCATCTGCATATTATCTTTGTCCTTATCCACGAGAATACCCAATTTTTGATCAAGAGTGAACTTTGCCAAGTCATCAAGGGTCTTACGATATTTGAGATACATATCCGAAGCAGCTTGGATGCCTTCTTCCTCTAGCATGCGTAGAATCTTGTCAATTGTGGCTTCCCCACCCCGAAGTCGTAAGACAACACGATTGGCATCCACCAAGGGACACGCCTCCATACCGGTAGCAAAGCCATCGGTGGCAGATGGATCAACATGGACAAAGCCATCGGCAGGGCGGACAAAGCCATCGGCCCGTGGATTCACTGTTCCATCCTCGGTAACTGTTCCATCCTCGGTAACTGTTCCATCCTCGGTAGCAGATGGATCAGTACCGGTATGGGCACCAGCGTTGACAGTGCCGTCGGCAATTCCGAGAGTCATCGTCGGATATTGATCGAGCGAAAATTATGGCAATTTGTTGTTGTTGGAATGAGGAAACTGCGGGAGTTGCTCTTAAATCCATCCTTTCCTTTTCTGCTGCGAGACTTCCAAGGGTTCTCTGCCTGTATAAAATCATCCAACTCTGATGGCTGAAACTCTAAAACCATCCGGATCTATTGTTCCTGTTTTTGCCATGTTATTGTCTAGCTAGGATTCTTCAGGTCTTCTACTAGCTAGAGCTCTGGGACTATTACTAACTACAGGGACACTATTAGTATACGACTCTCTCTCCTCATAAATGGTCATGGCAACGGCGGTTCCATGGATTGATTTTTAAACCACGTTCACAAGTTGAAATGCAGGTTTGGCTAGGCCAAAAGTTTGACGCCCCCCTTGGCTGAAGAACAACTGATCAATGTGTAGGGTGGAATCAATCTGGTTGTTACATTTTGACCACTCCTCATAAATGGTCATGGCAACGGCGGTCAGTTCTTTTCAGAGGCCCAGCGATTTGATGACCCCACTGCAAGGGCCTAACTGAACTGTGAAAGAGGAATCTGTTGTTGCATTTGACCAGAGGTTGATTGTTGGGTATCGTACTAGCTAGCTAGTATGACTTCCAATGGATACATCAATAGTTGCAGGAGAGTTGAGGAACGAATCCATATTATGGCAACACCAACATGGCCAGCCCTCCTGGTGGGCATTGTTGATACCACGTAGTGGCCAGTGTGGGACTTCACTTCACCTTTTCCAAGAGACTCTCTCTCAGTTCACGGCCAAGGAAATGGGGCTACATTCTTACTTGACTGCGGATGCTCCTCCAGCCTTGGAAGGTTGGTCTACAGAGGAAGAAGAGACACTCCATCAATTGATTGAAAGAGTCCGACATTGAATTGGAGGACACACAGCTCGATCGCTGTTGCTGTCAGCCAGCCAATCGGCAAGCGCCGTCCAAAACCAACTCCATTTGCTCGACAAAGACAAAGCCCGCGACCTGATGCTTGCCCTTCAGCAGCTTGGATGAGGTTGGCCAACGAACGTGAGGAGATGTATGTAGTGATGATACTGTAATAAATAATTTTGGTAACATGGGGAAACTTACATAAATTTTGATTGAAGAAAAATAAAATGAAATAGCCTCCGGCGTAGCCCGAAGGCGGCATCAAACACAGCTGTCGTTTTGGTTGGTGGTGGGTAGCAGTAGTGGTAGTCGGTCGGCAGTGGTATCAGTAGAGGAAGGAGCGTCGGTAGAGGAAGGAGCGTCAGTAGACCATAATGCTAGCTGTATGTTGTTGCCAAGAGCCTTGCCCCTACCGAAGTAGGCACTGACTTCAAGTGCAATACACGGCTCTTAGCCTTATTCGCGACTCGATCCTAGATAGGGTTTGAGTTCGACTCATGACTGAGTCTCTCGTGAATAGTCATTGAGACAGGGTTCTCAATGACCGCTCTAGTCATACTAGGTTGATGATGAAACATCGCTCTAGATATTTAGCCAGCGTGGAGTACTTCCACGCTACTAGATAAATGCTAGACGAATCTTCCACGTGTTCCATTTTTGGATCGTGGAATGAGTAGGATTGCTACCGCAACCTACTCTATCACACTCTACAGTCTCCCGCGGGAGTTCAGATCTACGATCCTTTGATTGTGGATCTCTCTCATTGATTAGTTTTTCATAGCTTTCTAATCCTCTCATAACTTTCATTCTCTCAAACTCAAAACACTCGAAAGATTTTTACACTAGCTTTTAGCGTAATGCATTTTGTTAACAAACACAATAGCTTTCAGCTACCCTCAACCTATTCCTCACCATGAAGATTGCCAAAGACGCATACGCCAGCTTCGAGTCTAAGCTGCGCGACAAACCAATCCTTCCTCTCATCGACCTGACGTGAATGCGAAATCTGACGATTCTCGCTCTACCATCTACAAACTTCGCACTATTCAGCAGATGCTAACAGCGACAAGTACACCTTCAAGGTCAAATCATCATGGGATCTGAGACTCCACGTCAGACCATCAAGTGGGCTAGCATGGAGAATGGTTTTCGTTGGGTCGGCCCATTGCTAAAGGCCTACGCGACAAACATAACATCCTCAAGGAGCATGACTTTCTAGCTCTGCAAAGAGCAGTACGAATCTAGCTGTGCAGCGCCACCGTGAATACAGTTGAGAATGCCTTCGCGCCAGGATTTGCAGTCAACGGATTCCTTCACGCGACGTACGTGGCGGAGAAGACGAAGCCAGCTTTCCAGCGCGTTTCCAGTCTGCCTGGAGCGGAGCAGCTCAGCTTGCTTTGGACGACGTTGACTTTACGTTTGGCATAAATGGCTGTGTCGAAGCGGTCTGTTCCTACAAGGCTCTTGAAAGGCAGAAACGCTTCATGCGTTGCAAGATGCGTAAGCCTGTTGATATGTCTACTCGGGCTATGTCAACAACCTCAGTAGGATGAACACAGATGAACTTCCACGTTTGACACCTTTCGGTGCCAATCAAAAGTTGAACCAGGACGAATACATCGACATCATCTGTCAAGGCATTCCTCGTTCCTGGATGAACAAGATGGACGAACACGATATCGATCTTTCTCAGTTATCGGAGAAAAAATTGGATTCTGCGAACCGAATAGAATCCTGAACCGAGAATTTGACAAGGGCGGGATACCAAGACAAGCTCCTTGAAGAAGAACAACAGCAAGAAACAAGTAAGTACCGCAACAACGCATCTTCAAAGAACGAAGAAAAATGGTGCGCTACCACATAGTCAGCACTCCAACAGCTGCTGACTGCATGAATCTGAAGAAGCTCAGCAAGTCTCAGTCCTACTGACAACGATAACATCCAAGCGTACAACAAGAAAACAATTGGAAACGCAAACGCCGACGAGACTCAAGACCTAAACACCAAGAGGAACTCTCTGTCCCAGTAAGAAGGTTTCCAACGTCTGCTGGTCAATGCTGATGCAAGAAGCAAAGGCGAATGACAACCATGTTGACAGCGCAGTCAGACAGAACGCTGACAATCGAGGACGTCTTCTCTGTTGGATCTATCAACATGATTGACAAGTAGAATGGCTGCTGTTGACAGAGCGCTTGCCGAATTCGACTTAAATCATTGGATGGAGAGATCTTACGTTGAGGATTAGGCCAGGATATGATTAACGAGAACCATGTTCCGTTTCTAATACCTAAGTGATGAAATATAACTCACTAAAAATAAACAAGAATTTGTTTGCACTCAACGAAGTACGGAATTAGAGTGCTAGTCAACTACCACTAGACACTGACGATACCGTTCAGCACTCGTTAACCTCTCCATGAGCCAATCAACTCATCAACTTAGCACAGAAAGAGACTCTCTAAACTAAATCGTCTACGTTAGATTTAACAGATGAGAGAAAGGGAAACGAATACCCGTTACACATACTGTGTTTACTGGATAAGGAGCATACCGGAACTTTGATTCTCAACTCCATGCTAAGAGTTATTAATGAAGAATCATGGGGTCGTCAACCACATTACGGAAACTCTCTTCTAGAAAGGAATTAAAACACCGCACCAAGAAGTGTAAGGGAACACTCGTCGATATCCTGAGTTCACGATGATAGAATTATCGAATGGAAGCTTACACGTCACCGAAACTTGGGGGCCAAAACAATGATCATAGGTCAAGCACAAACCTCTTTCGACACTAATAATCAAGTTTGATTTCACTACATGGTCATTGGGAGTGGAAAAGCGTATTTTTCCTGCGAAAGATGGCGATGCCAATAGAAAGGAGAACTTCTGCCTTTCCTGATCTGCAGCTGTACGACAAATGCGATAGTCTAAGAAGATTTTGAATCGAAATACGAACAATAGGCTTGATTAAGCAGATATGCCAGAGTCGAGATCAGTTAAATAAGGAATAGCAAGAACTGACTCATGCTCTTTTACCAAGTGCTTTGACCCATCGAGGATACTTGGGGAGAGTGTGCGAATGACAACTACGAAGTAGAAACTTCGTCCCGACGCTAAATCCTTATTATACTAGAGCGCCACCCAACTCGACGGGTCATCAACAACAGTGCTTAAGAGAGCGTTGAAACGGTCTCCTAGCGAGGCAGGAGTAACCAAAAAGGTAAACCGTTCAGAGTGGCGGCACCAACTATTATTCGCAAGAAAGAGGGATCTGTAGATTCATCTCTATTTGGAACTCGAACAAAAGATCAAGCAGTAAGCCTTACCTATCCCAAAAAAAGGACATGCTCTTGAATCCATAATGGATTCAAGTGCGATACTAGTCTAGACCTGAACAACGACACTACCACATCGAGCGTCACATCACCGAAGCAACTGTATTGCACTCCCAGGGAAAGCACGAGTACCAGAGTTTGCCAATGGGCCTATGTAATAGTCCCGACATCTTCCAAGGAAGATGAAAGCACGAATGCATGACTTAGAAAGTCGTGCATACATTGATGATCAACGTCATCCTAACTGACGTCGATCTGGCGGATCGCGTTGAATAGTTAGATGAATTTTCCAAAGACTTCAAGAAGTGGGATTGAAATCACACTACCAAGGCCTTCCTCGAGGAAGAAGGAGTATCTAGACAGTTGGACTACTCGAGAAGGAATCCAACCCTTAACTAAAAGATAACAGATGTGATCCAGCTATCGTCTTCCTACCAACAGGAAGGAACTTGTAGATTCATTGACCAACGAACTACAAGGGCTGTCAAGACAGCAGACGGATAACCACCGTTCTGAAACAGACGTGATATGCCCAGTATCCATGACCGGATGTGTCATGGACAAAGAACGTGAGTCCGCGCAGAGGTCGAGAACTCTCCGGGATGAACATGGACTTCGTCGCAAGTTCAGCGCGTCAATGGTGACAAGACTCACTACATCCGTTTCAAAGCAAACCGGAAATAAATTAAGGAACGTCGCCAACGACTTATCCAGAAAAACACGATAAGGAGAACAGAAACGTGTCCCTCATCAACAATGTCAACGATACTATGATGATTCATCAGTATCAAACCGTTAGTACGGTCAGCCAGAAAAGGTCCTTACCACAAGACCGAGTCAATAACAATGGCACTGTACGGCTCCGACATACTACCGCCAGTAGCGGCACAGTCTACCAGACTTGGAACATAAGGTATTTACACCCATACAAGGCCTGATCCCTTGTAGGATTGCCATCGTGCGACGCACATGTCTACATCCAATCTCCGGAGAGTGCCCCGCACTTTAATTCATATGTTCTCCTTGTCCGACTGATGTCGTGCCTTCCGTGACCCTTGTCAGGGGGCGAATGCAATACACGGCTCTTAGCTTATTACTCGATCCTAGATAGGGTTTGAGTTCGACTCATGACTGATCTCTCGTGAATAGTCATTGAGACAGGGTTCTCAATGACCGCTCTAGTCATACTAGGTTGATGATGAAACATCGCTCTAGATATTTAGCCAGCGTGGAGTACTTCCACGCTACTAGATAAATGCTAGACGAATCTTCCACGCGTTCCGTTTTTGGATCGTGGAATGAGTAGGATTGCTACCGCAACCTACTCTATCACACTCTACAGTCTCCCGCGGGAGTTCAGATCTACAATCCTTTGATTGTGGATCTCTCTCGTTGATTAGTTTTTCATAGCTTTCTAATCCTCTCATAACTTTCATTCTCTCAAACTCAAAACACTCGAAAGATCTTTACACTAGCTTTTAGCGTAGTGCACAAGGCAAAACAAATAGCGCAGCAATCAAGGGAGTAGAAGTAGTTGTTGTTGGTAGAGGCAAAGTGACAAATGTAGACTACTCTTGTCACGGTGATGAACGTGTCTCACCCCAGACGAAGTACAGCTCTTGCAATTCACCATCTTGACTGTCATGGGCCGAGAACTGACTGCCATCCCATCGTCCATAGAATTCAATGAGGGATGGCTTTCGCTTCTGCACCGGAGAGGGTCGAGTTGAGTGAGGCTTGATAATAGAGAATACGGCCGAGATCTGACTGCCTTCCCGCGGTCCATAGAAATTAAATGAGGGATGGCTTTCGAATCTGCACCTCGAATCGATTCGATTGATCGGCCGATTGGATAAAGCACTCTCCTGTTTACCATAGCAATGCAATGAGAGAGAGATGTCAGTGCTGCGCCTTCAACAATAACATGACACCTCATAATAGACTTACCTTATCGTAATAGTAGTATAGTAGCAGTACAGTGGCGATCGGCCGCTCGTCCACCATTGTGTTGCTTTTGACGCCATTTGTGGTGTGGTGTGGGCAGGAAGTGCAGCCAAAGAATGGTGAGCGGGCCTGTTTCGTGAAATCTTTTTGAATGTTTTTGAATCTTTTAGTGTGGAGAAAGGTTCTCTTTTCTGCTTTTCTGTTTGGCGTCGTTTTTGGCACACCGTGTTTTGGCACAGCGTGGGAGGAAATGTGCAACCTTTTTTGGTCTCGACGACCCCATGCCAGAGCCAACCAAACTTTCAAACCGTTGGCTTCAAAAAAGGATCCAAAAGATCCGCCACAAATAAATTCGGAACAGGCGCCTTTTATTTTGCTATCTAATCTAATCTAATCTACGGTATCTCTATCATCCAATGAGGTATCGTTCAAGTTCTTGTGTTGCATGGATTCTACCGGTATGTATACCAGTACTATGGGTATCCTGGACCTGCCAAGCCTTCCTGCCAGTGCCGTATACTTATACTACCAGTACCTCCTACCGCTACCAAAGAATATCTCAGTGTAAGACCCCACCAACGGTATTTGCACTGAAAGATCCATCATCATCATCATCCGATTCTTCCAGTACAAGTAAGTCTGCTTCTACCAGGAGAAAAAAGAAGAGTCAGAAACGTCGGCAACCCAAGAAGAAGAAGACCACAGTTGAGACTGCTAGAAGAAAACGAGATCCCAACGGCATTGAGACTTGGAGAGTCTTTGGAATTGAAGTCCATCCGGATGCCCTCAGGGGACCATAACCACCACAAGATGATGATGGACCACTACCCATTCTTCCCAGCTTTGTTCCTCGCAACCAAGTCCCTGTCATGGCAGCCAGGCCTCCTGCAGTTGCACAGCTTCCTTCCTTGGCTGACAATGAGGATGAGGAAGATATTGTGGAAGAGGATGGCCCCACTACTTGGAAGCCAAAGAGGATGGTCAAGGAATGGGAGAATGAACATGGCATTCGCAATGTGACTATCATTGTGTGGCTGAGCAGTGGCGCGACTGAAGCCGACATTGAAACCATGGTCTCTGCCAATGGCAAGAAGCTAACTATCAGTGAAAAGTGGCACCAAGACCTCTTGGATATTGGGGAGTTCTATTATCTCTATCAACAACACACAAGGGAGAACCTAGATACCAATGTGAGGTGCCATGCCATGCAGCAGTATGTCAGGTCCATCCTTGATGTCAGAGGTGATGTCATTTCAGAGTTCACCATGGAGCTCCCCTTTCCAGTTGATCCCTCTACTTTGAATGTTACCTTCCCCAGCTTTGAGTCTGGTTTTTATTGAATACAACAACCTGACCCCACACCACTAGACAAACTCAACAACAGCCATGGCTTTGATGTGTGTTAGGCACACTGTAAACAAGAACAACAACCAACCAATCTAGGAGCAACTTGTTGAGTGCTCATGTAACCAAAAAGGGGTAGCTTGTTGAATACCCTTGTAGAAAGAATAAGAGATACTAGTATCAAGTAACAATGATGTAGTGGTGTTGTAGCTGTGTAATGCGTTTTCCTGCTCCTCCCGGTAAATAGCTAGACTATTATAGTATCTAGTTATGACTGTGTGCGAACTTATTAATACACTAAAGTAGCTTGCAAATAGTGCGAACCGTTGCGGATGGGGACTCGAACCCCAAACTAGTTGTGAATAGTCCCGTACTCTAAACAGCTCTCTACACCCCCCTTGAACGATCTGAGAAATTTCGGGTTGAGTCGAACGAGTCAAAGATCCACCAGAAACATCAACAACGGCGAAGACCTCCATGCATTGAGCAAGAAGCCATGTCGGGGAGAGCCGCCAAGAGGCAGAGACGGGGTCAACCCAAGGAGGACAAGGAGGATCCTCCAATAACCTTTGAGGCCTTTTCTACAACGGAAGAGTTTGTCAAGAGTCAGGGCGCCAATCTACAGGATGCGCTCAATCTAACAGATGACCATGCGGCATTCTTTGCCAAGCTCCAGATCAAGACGCTTCAGAAGCAGGGCATGCACCAAATTGCTAGCTACAAGAAAGCGTGTGACAAGGCTGATTATTCTGTGGAAGAAATGCTAGGTGATGCCGAGCAACTCATTGCTCAAAAGAGGGCCGAGTTGGAGGAGTTCACGGCCAAAAAGATGTCCTTGGGTTCTCTCAGGAGCAGCATCCAACAGACCAGGGTGATTCTGGAAATTGGGGAAACGGTGGCGACAAATACCAATACGGCTGTGGCGGAACCTGCCAATTCTGACGACAACAACAAGCCTCCACTGATGTTGTTGCTAGAATTTTCGGTGGGGGATAATGCTGCACTTCGACTGGTCAATTCTTTTTTGGATCCATATTCGTTGTATCAATGGGGGCGGGTCGTTGTGGAGGTGGAGTCAGCGAATGGCACCGAAAACCAGCCAGAGTTGAGCGCCGCTCGTGAGATTGGAATGGCCATCTTCAATCATACTGTGCTACCAAAGCGTGGGTTCCAGCCCTGTGGAGACTTGCGAGAACTATTCGTCGATGCGGACGAAACCCTGGAAGAAGAAGAGCCCAAGGGGTCAACTCGTGGCTTGCAATTTCAAAGCGTTGCTTGGAAACGAAAGAATGAGTTGTTTCAAGGAAGGCTGTCGCTAAGCAGGGATCTTGGCAACGGACACGAAACAGTGCAGGATATGGCAGAGTGCTTCAAGGATGTAAGCACATTCAATCAACACTTTTTCACGTGGGAGCGACTACCGACTCCCACCTCTGAACCTGTCAACCGAAACAACTATAATAGCAACAACGATAATAATACGACGGTCACTTCTATACCATCACCATCACCATACCTATTAGCACCCTCGGAAGCATTGAAACGAAGCGAAAGGACCTCGGGAAGCTGTTATCTGTTATTTCGTTGAAGAGTACTGTTTTACTATAGGAATCCACTCAACGTCATCACGGAAAACAAACATCCTCTTTTCCTCTCTCCATCTCTCATTCAAGCCGAAAGGATCAACAGGATCGATACCTCCTATCTCCTGCGCACCTCTCCTATCAAGCGACTATCAAAGCGGCCTTCTCGGTTCAGATTAGAAAGCCATCCCAATTGAAATCCTACGAGATCGGGCGGTTTTCTTTCTCGACCGCCGACGCCAAGTTGGAAGAAATTGAACACAAGAAGAAGTCTCCGCCTTCCACAGCACAGTACGAAAACAATTCCCATACGTATTGTTGCTTTCTGAACTAAGCTCCTGACGGCCGAGAGAAATCCCATTGTCGGCCGATCTCTTCTTCGAACGTCGCTCCTCCTCTTCCACCAACACCAAAGGCTCGGTTAACCATCCCTAAGGCGACTGACGGTTTCGAATCGAATCCTCTGATCGACTCGCGAATCGAATCGGTTTTCGAATCGAATCGAATCCAAGACTCGCTCCTCCGTGAATCGATCGATTCCCGACGCACCTCCCCTCCATACGTACCTCTTCTCCGTACGAAGCCTACTATCAAGAAGACTTCACGAGATACCTGCAGTGACCACCCAGAAGAGAATTACACCTGTATTCTTACTTTCTCATCGGCCACTAGTGGTTTCTCCCGACGTCCTTGTTGGACCTGATACTTCCTGCTACTGTTACCACCCCATTGATATCTAACTCCTCTCCCAGAGGAACAACAAACAACAACAGAGTTCCTGTAAGGACTTGAGTTCTGCTATCTCCAGGCTCGGCTGCTTTCTTGGTTGGTTTACAGCCCCACCTGGGATATCCAGCTCCTCTCCAAAGACCTCACCCCCACAAGAACCAACAAAAGTTGCCCCTCTAGTACCACATATAGATTGTGCAACACCCCCTTATTGAACCAGCCACCTCTCTGCTCCTCACCTGACTCTCCTACTGAGTTTGTGACTCCAAAGGATTGCCCCAGACAGAACTGCAGCGTGGTGTGGCTCAGATTCAACCACGCCTGACCCTATTACTCTCTAGCTGATTGTTGAGTAACTCTCCAGTGACTTTCCACAGTTCACCTGAATCGAGTACCCTCTCCATATCTTGCTTGACTCTCTGTTGCATTGTCATCCCTACAACAGATTGGTACCAGCCTTTGAGACAACACAGTGTCAACCGTAACACAGCCCATAAACCAACAACACACCTTGATCCCCCACCACTGCCTCTACTGGCTATAGCGTGACTTCTCCAGTTTTCCCTGAAAGAATCCTTATCAGCCTTTGGCTTTGACCCTTCCTTTTGCGTTGTGGTAACTGTACTAGATTGGGACCCAGCCTCTGAACCGTGGCCATCCCCACCCAACGCTTTGATCCATACCCTGATTCCAGTGCCCCAGAGACATTTCCTCCTTGAATAGATTCTTTGAATCAATCCTCCTCACCCCTCACAAGCACTCCCTGTGCTGAGTTGCAGCACGACCCAACAGTCAACATCCACAGGAGACTACACCCCCCACACCACCATCATGCCTCCCATAGCAAACACACCCTACCCAACCCCTCCACCCCCATCCATCTACACCCACAACCTCCCTCCAACATTCACCCCACAACCCCACTTACAGTCCACACCGCCCAGCAGACACTGTGCCTCCCTTTGGGAGCCACTGTCTGCCAGTGCGTCATTTGGCCCTATCGCATGGCTGTTTGTCGGCTTCTGCCTGACACTGTTCGCCCACTGGATAGGTCATACCCTGACATGGTCCAGTCTTAGTGCGCCACCGCCTATGGATTCTGCTGCATCTTGCCCTGCACGACAAGGCAATGACCACAGCATGGGGACCTGATCACTCAGACGCACTTGTGGTGGAGGTGGATCGATGTGACTGTTGTCGATCAGCGCCCTTTAATAGGTTAAATCCTGGCTAGGCCACGCGCTCCAGGTCATGATGTGGAAGATGCACACTTCCGTTGTAGTAGAGCTGTAGGGACCTCCCCTTGTTCATGGGGCGAGGTGAACGGCGGTGAGACTATAGGATAGTGAGCCGTGCTACTATGAGGCATTCCTCCTTCAGTGTTGATCTTGGTGTCACCGTGAATCTTCCTATCGTGCAATTCATCAATGGTATACGACTCAGCTGTTTGGGCCCTCGGGCTCATCACGTGCCAGCGTAGAAAAAGGTCCTCCGGACCCAATAGGTTGTTAACCTAAATAAGTAATTAAACCCCATGTAAGCACATTCAATAGTTCCCAGTTGCAGCTCCTCTGCTGGGCACTCTATCAGCTCATGTACCGAAGCTCTCATTTTACCGAGCACATTTACCAAACCGTCGAGCACTTCCCAACAGTTGTAATGTCATTTGTCGAGACTGCAGCCGAACAGCTAAACATCCATTTCTCTGCTCCACGGGAAACTCAGTATCAGTTCAAGACTCTCGGGAGGTTTGCATCGCCTCTTTGTGCACTCAATGGAAGCCTGACATTGAGAGACTTGGCTTGCATGCATCCAGACTTATACGAAGGCCGCAAACCTCGATCTCAACCGAACTGCACTCACCGGAAAATACGGACACCATTAGAGCATCGAGAGCATTTTGCCGAGGTGAGATCCCTTTCTCACAAGGGATTGACCAGGTATGTCAAAGAAAGTATCTTGAATCAGATCAACACCGTGGATCTCGAAAATGATGTTGAGTGCGAGATCGTACCGAACCAATTGCCTCGTAGCAATGCTGATCAAGCTTGGGACAATTGGGTTATCGCTGGTATGACAGAAGAAAACGAGGAAGATTTTGATGATGCAGTGAAAGACATCAAGAACAGTGTGGAAGAGTTAGAATCGTTTGTCCGGGATGAGCTTGCCCAGTTGGATGCATTACAAGGGGTACCTTGCCTACACACCAAGCATGAACCATTTTGCCTTGCTGCGTATGCGACTTTTGCCAGCTTTTATGGCAGGGCGAACGTCACCGTGTCGGCTTGCGACCTTGCTCAACAAATCATCGAAGACTTTGCTCTGGGCGTTGCCGTCAAGCCTTTTTTTGTGAAGCGTCAAGAACATGTACCTGTCCTTTGCCACCTTGTCATTGGGAAGCATAATGGGACAACCATTGCTTCCTTTCCATCTTTGCAATGGAGAGAAGATGATATAGCTGGACTTGCCGAGACTGCCATTTCCAAGAGCTCGACAGGGACTAACGGGGAGGACACGGACAGTGAGGACTCTTTGTGGTTTCCTACCGAGAGTGACGAAGAAGACGGCAACAATGGTGACGAACAAATGCGCAGCTACAGCTTCTGCACCAGGTACGGGTACTGGTGGTCTGAGGCTTGAAAAAGAAAGGTTTTCTTGGAAGTACGCCTGGCAATGGGATAAGCTGGCACATGAGATTCTGTAGTGAAACGCTTGCTGTGGTGGGAGTGGGAACAACGAGCAGCAATCTTATGAGCAATCTACGAATCTATTCTAGAAAACCGTTCAATGCCTGACATAGGTTGGTTTGTTACGACTGTCGCTCAGCAGCTAGACATAATGGGTGGGTCCTGAAATTTGGTTTGGTAAGGGGAGCTGGCAGCCAGCGGCAGCAAAAATGACATCTTGTGGACTTCGAAGATCGACACCAAGCAGCGCCACGACATGTTTGCAGTCTTCTTGTTTCTTGGGGGTGCAGTTCGTTGGTGGCTTCGTGGTCTGGCTGGGGCTGTAGCTGTAGCCTAAGAATGATGAATCAACTTGTCATGAACTGAAAGGACTTCAGAATATCTACATTTGCTGCATGTACAGTCCACAGGAAGGGATCACAATCAACTTGAATCTGCACTACCTCAGGGTTGGCACAAAGACCGCTTGGCACGCTGCCTGATAAACTGGTTGTCTCCAAAGCTCAACCTAGACTTTTCAAGCCAGCCAGCACATTTCAGATGACAAACCACCACTCAGGTTGTTTCCCGCAAATTCAAAAATGTCAGAGAGGTCAGTACCATGCATGGTGGGTAGGTTAAAGGTCCACCGTTTCATCGCAATCATTTTTCCAACACGGCAGTTTTGGGTTGCATTCTCTTTGGTAGAGAGATGGCCAGAGACAACCGCGTTCGGGGCGGGAACATCAACATGAAGGATCTTTTCCTGTGGTTCTTTGGAGAGGCGGTGGGCTTCGCCTTTCCCTCTGCTCTGAACTTATTACACTCTTGCGGTACCATACCAGTATCGGCACGGTACAGTAACAGAATGTTGGTTCTGCAAGATCGAATCGGTCTTCTGTGAGTTTGTGGATCTGACGCTGAACGATGGCTCGGCTTGCTCTAACGGCCGGTCGGATGTGACGTCATTGAATCCGGGACCGAATCCAGGACCGAATCTTTACCTGGCAAGACTGGCGTCAGTGATAGCAAATGTTAGTGATTATCCACACAATATATATCCACCATGCCGTACATGACGAATGTCCTGCATTCGAAGGCTGACATGCCTGAAATCGCCGATGATAGGATTTGGAGAGGCAATGGCAGAGAATGTATTCCGGTCTTCTGGGGAGACAGCGGCCATGGCGCCGCTGGCTACTACAGCGGCCACCACCGCTACAATGGTTCGACGACTCATACGATCAGATTCGTGAGGGCCTACTAATCCGTGACCATGGCGCGCTAGCAACGGCCGGTTGACAGACAGACAGAGATTGGGTCGTGTATGGCGGTTGACAGACAGACAGGATTAATCTAGTGGATCGAATTTTAAAATCTAGTGAATCGATTAGTCTTACACTGGGAGTATTCACGTTACACCGTGGAGTCTTCCCCGCCGTGCAGTCTCCACTTACTCCACGCTACGTGAATTGTCGACGCCGGTCTAACACACAACACCCTGCACCGAACAACACAGTTTGAGCTTCTCAGCAACCATGGCTAAAGTTGATTTTAGAGGCATTCAGATCCATGAGGATCTTGAATTTACCTTGTCGCATGTATTAGACAATGAGATCAGGGATGACGCGACCAGAATGGTGTTCTATGTTCCGAAGAGTAAGGAATACTTGGTGGTGGGTTGCTTGGATTGACAACCAAGGTGAGACGGTGAACACCTACTACACTCAGTTCGATACCGAGGAGCTGCTCAAAGAAGCCATCCAGGCTCTTCGGCTATTGATTGAACTGCCGTCTAGTGTTGAGGATTTACCGGAATGGGAATGGCATGAGGACGCTGATGCTGGGCCGTTGGCATAAAAAAAGTCATGACGAAAGAGTGCTGCAAGAGCAAGAGGAAGGTGAAGGGATACATGTTGTTCGTTAAGGAGCACTATGATGAAGTGAAACAAGACAACCCTGATTTATCATAGGACAATCTAGAAGGAGCCTAATTCAACACCGTTGTTTTCTATCATGAGTTCTTCTTTGAACTCACTTATTACAAGGTTGATAAAGTCCTCAGGAATTGGAGTGCACTCGAACTCAAGGGGAATTGTGGCATCTTCATCTGTAATGAAGACTCCTTTGGTGTATGGGTTCCCTCGGAGGGACGTTCTGCGGGTGTATATTAGATAGGACGCGGTGCCTTGACGCCAAAAGCTTTCCATGAAATCATCTTGGTTCTCGCCTTGTGAAGGAAAATAGAATCTTAGGGCTATCATCGTTTATTGTTTCCTTCTCGTAAATTTATGAGACTTGGATAAGTTTCAATTAAAGAATAAAAATTGTGTTCTTTTCATAAATTTTATAAGACTTAGATAAGTTTTGAAACATGAGCGGGACTACTACTAAGCATTACCAATTCATATTGTTCTTCAACTTGAAGAAGGATGGGACGCGACAGAAAGCCAAGAAATGGAGGGAGGATGCATTGGCTTACCTCATCAGACTGTTTGAGAATAAGGCGGGATTTGCCTGTATTGCTCGAGACGAGAACAGGTCATCTCTGTTATTGAGGGGGTATGTGAACCTTAAATCACCTTGTAAGCCTGCCTCTCTCAGGAAATTGCTTGGAAAGTACAGCTCCTGTAAAGCGTCTTATTTTGGGGAGATGGTCAACCTCTGTCGGCTTGTTCACATCGACAGGGATCTGACAGCAGTGGGACGGTTACGGCTCAACGGGGCTAACCCTGTGTGCAAGCCATTTTCAGGCGATCCGAAGTTCATTCTGAAGGTTCTGCTTGATTCGATAGATAGGAAAGACTCAGGAAATACGGGAGAGGAAAGCAACGGTGAAGAGGGGATGGGATTGGTGAATGGGATTGAACATGAAAAGGGACAGGGTTAAGGTTGCTTGCGTGTCAAGAAGTTCTGAAGTGGTAACAAGAAACAATTGTCGAACCATGACGAATTTGATGGAAGGACCATGGGACCCGGTCCAGTGGGTGAAGGACCATCCAATCCAACGACAGTTTCTTAGGCTACACCCTGACGTATGGGAGGTTTTGATCGGTGGGTCAATTCCAGATTGGTTCCTACATCTAGGTGAAGAAGCCATTTGGTGCCCGATAGAAACAACAGACTGGTGGACTGATCTTTACACCAATAGCGTTGATTTGAACTGAGCCACGGGTTGATTACTAGACTAAATAACCTTACTTAGACGCAGCCATGAGCACAGCTATTCGATGGAGCACAACTACTAGGAGCGCAGCAATTGCACAGCGATAGCGTTCTATGGGCACAGCGGGAATGGCACAGCGGGGATATCTACTGAGGATCGCTCAATCGCCGCGGGGCTGGAGCAACGCCGACTTCACTGGCTGAGCACAGCTATTCGATGGAGCACAACTACTAGGAGCACAGCAATTGCACAGCGATAGGCGTTCTATGGAAGGGGGGGGAGGACCTCTCGCCGCTAGGACCACAGAGGGGGGGGGGGGCACAGCGGCAATGGCATAGCGGGAATGAGGATCGCTCAATCGCCGCGGGGCTGGAGCAACGCCCACTTCACTGCAGGGAGCCGGGCCAGTGAAGTGGGGCTGGGGGAAGGGCGAGAGGTCATATGGGTATGCCTCCTAAGTCGGGAAACTATGCGTCCTCTTATTCGGCATACCCATATATGATAAAGGAGATTTGTAGTTGTAGCCGAAGTTGAGGAAAGTATAGGGAGGTGGTGCCAGGCTACAAAATTTGTAGACGAAGTTGATTGATTTGTAGACGAAGTGGGAATGGAGTACTAAAAAACCTATAGTAAAATTGGATTTGTAGACCAAGTTGATTGATTTGTAGACGAAGTTGATTGATTGGTAGACGAAGTTGATTGATTTGTAGACGAAGTTAGAAGCCTTCCCGCGCGCGCTTTGCTTCTAGTCGTGCTTCCTTCTCAGACTCTACTTCATCCATGATCTCAAGAGTGCGCTTCCTGTATTGCTGCAGAAACGGGTGGCGCGATTCACCAATTTGCGAGTCGCGTTTCTTGAGTTCTTCTGGCGTCAACTCTAACTCTACTATGTATGATATAACGATCTTGCGAGAGAATGCTCTTTCCAATCATTGGGTAGCTGTTCATGAAAACGAGCACATGAGGGGTCCGAAAATCCTTGGGACAACACTCGTATTTTGTGTTAATTACAGCACCATTCTTCACTTCCTCAATGAAGTCATATGGAAGATTGAATTGAACCTTTCGGGGAGCATCGATGAGAATGATGTCAGCACCATCATGGGGGATGATGTTAGACAGCGAGGTGGTGTCTTTAGAGCTGCAAGTGAAGACAGATTTATTAGGTAATAAGAATTCGGCGTTCCTAACAAATTCGGATTTTCCAACGTTGCCTGTTTTATCCACCATGAAGATGATTAGACGAGGGTCGGGATCGTTGTCGCGTAGGTAATCAATCCATTCACGTTGCCAAGACCACATCTCATGCGTTTCAAAGAAGTTATCCCTGACGATGCGATGCTTTAGGAACTGCTTGCGGAGCCAGGTGGATGATTTGTCTGCATATTTGGGGACGAGGTCTTCCAACTCAGAGAATTTCATGCCTTCTTGTGCTGCTTTTTTGACAATTAACATCACATCATGGTGATCAGTGCGATCACCTTGTTTGGTAACGGGAACCTCTCCGTATTGATAAGTAGGGCAGTTGCCTTCCTTGTTTAGGTTTCCGCAATAATCTGCAGCTTCCTTGAGAGTTCCTCTCATCCCGTCTACATGATAGTGATGCTTTAAGAATTTACCTTCGTTGTCAGGATCAGGGAGACAAATGTCCTTATTGGGGCCCATTAGAAGCTTGGAGATAGCCGATGGGCGCTGCTTCTTGAATTGTCTGCTGAATACGACACAACCTTGAAGGTGTGGTGTATCACCGCTAGAGCCTTTCTCTTGACACACTTTCAAAAAGACTACATCTTCGTTCCTCTCACAGAACTTTGGAAGATACTCCCAATCGGTTTGAGTGTAATGGTGAAGTGTGAACACGAATTTGTTGGTGGGAAGGGTGTATGGCATGTTTGTAGTTCTTGTAGCCTGTAGCCTTTCGACTTCTACAAAGTTCAAATTCATATGCCCCCTGGGTCGTCTCCGTTTCCAGTACTAGTTTAACTTGTCTACTAATACAGGATAATGGTGAATAGAATCGAATGAATCATGTGGCCTATATTTAGGGTTTAGGTTTTGCAATTTTGAAGTCAACGTGTGTTAAGTGGAGGGTTGGCTCGCTTCCGCTGGGAGCTTGGTGTCTTCTTTTTCCTCTGTTTCCCGCTCTTCGTCGGAACTGGGGTATTCGGTAATAGGATCGTGAGCAAGTTCGGCAGCTTTCTTCATACCTTGTGGAGTGTCATCATTCTGACTATTCGCAGGTGATACTTTGGCGACGTGGTTCGTGGAAAAGGTGGGACGGGAGATGACGTATTTGTTTGCATTGGAACTGGGAATGGTTTGCGAATATATATTGGGAGGTCCAGTATTGAGGTATTTGAAAGTGAGGGCACGGGGGATTTATACGGGAAGCTACTGTAGGAGACTTACCACCGTTCTCCTGCTGGTGCTAGACGGATGAACCCTACCTAGTCTCGACGAACAGGACAAGTGGTACAAGGTCCATGACAACTGGAGTGAGCTGATCACCCACTCCGACATCATGACTCACCTTTGACGGATTCTTGGATCGATCAAGGCGATACCGCACGTATCCGAATTCTCAAGGACGACAAGGGCATGTGTACTCTATTTGGCCTCGTGGTCAATCCCGGCTTCACGTCTTACTCCGTTGGTTTCACCGAAAAAACCTTGGATGCATCGGATTCGGTCGCATGCGGGCCATACTGGTGCCCGTCGCAACTTATTACAAGCCACTACGACGCACACCATCCCCCGCCCCCACCTCTACTCCACCAGTTTGCCTTCAAGCTGCCACACTGGCCCTTCCCATGGTTTTGCACTACCCCCGGCATGAACTTTGAGGCCTTCTTGGGAACTTTCTGGAAA